TACACCAGTAACAGTCGTTTGTTATCATTATCAAGTGTTATGTACTATAGACTGTGTAAACTACACTCTTACTGGGCTGGCAGCACAGTAGGTTTGCTCACACCTGCATCCCCACAAACACATGAGGACAATGTTACACTTCGACATCACTAGGCCATAGGAGTTTTTCAGTTCCACTATATTCTAGTGGGACCACCATCATACGTGCAGTCGGCATTGACCAACTATGTGGTGTTTGACTGTATTGTATGTCTGTTGTTTTTTTTTAATTTTTTTCTCTATTGATTTTTTTAGACAGAGAGAGAGAGAGAGACATTGATGAGAGAGAACATGGACTGGCTGCCTCCTGCATGCCCCCCACTGAGGATCAGGCCCACAACCTGGGCATGTGCCCTGACTGGGAATTGAACTGGCAACCTCTTGGTACATGGGTCGACGTTCAACCACTGAGCCACACCAGCCAGGCTGTATTGTCTTTTTAATTTAAAAAATATTTAAACATTTGATCCATCAGGAATTGATTGGGGAGGGGGGGTTAGAATTAAGAAAGAGATCCAGATTTATTTGTTTTTCCCCAAATGATGACTCAATAGCAAGTCTTATTGTCTAGACTGGCTCTATGCAGGAAAACTACATATTTGTAAATGTGTAACTGGCTTCCTTGCTGAACTCCGGCATTGGTTTAATAGCCTTTCAGATGATAAAGGTAACTGGTTTCTGCAAATTTACCTACTGTCTTTAATTATTTACTTATTCCTATTTATCAGGCATATCATTTATCACCCCTATATTCATCACCTTTGCCCCCAAGTTTACTTCTAACCTTTTGGTGGCTCTTTAAGATGTCTCTCATTAACTAATTTTGTTTGATTTTTATTTTTTATCAAATCCTGATTGGGGCAGGACCTGAGTTTCTGAGTTGGGGCATTAATTGTAAAGGAGATAAATATGCTCATTAGTTTTTGGTTACTATAAGTGATCAATATACATCCTTGAATATATGTCTCTGTACACTTAGGCAGTGTTTTGCTGTATATAAAATGAGAGTGTCAAACAAAATAGAAGCTTATTTACAACTTAAACAACATTAAATAGAGAAAATAATTCAGTGGCAGGCACACTATCCCCCATAGTATAAAATGGCTGCTGGACTTCCGGCCATCACATCTGAGTTCCAAATAGCAGAATAGAGGAAGAGAAAAACCATACACTCCCCTTATCTCTAAGGAGATTTCTCAAGTCTCTTATTACATCATCGTCCTGAGCTTGATCAGATGGCCAGGCCTAGCTGCAAGGGAGGCTGGGAAATGTAGTCCTTTAACTTGGTGGCTATTAGCCCAACCAAAAATCTGGTCTCTGTAACAACTAAGGAGGAGAGAATGGCTATTGAGGAGCATCTAGCAGCCTCGGCCTTGAAATATCATACAATGCTCTACCTGTTTGTTCCTTCCATATTGTTTCATCAACCATAATCAGAACTCTGCCTGAGTTGATACAGGGCAGCTTTTTTTCAGTGGGCTTCTGCCAGCTTTACCCCAGATTCTGGTCTCAGGTGGAGTGGGCAGCCATCACCTGTCTCTGGGTCTTCTTGGACAGTACAGTGTGAAACTGAGAAGTGACACCAGAGCTGCTGGTCTTTGAGAGCTTGTTTGGAGGCTCTAGCAGAGCGCACAGCTACTCACGTACCCTTGACCAAAGAACGGTCCTCTCCTCTATCAGGGAAGGTCATCCTCTTTGACCCAGAGTGTGTAGTTTTGGGAGGGACACACAGAGAACAGTGAGGGAGAAAGGGGACACCTGCCTAGCCAGCCAGATCAGCTGAATCAACCCTGGAGATCAATGGGGTGACAGATGTCGCAGCCAGATCACCCTCACATCCCAGGACTTCCAGGCTGTGAAAGAGATCCTCTCCTTCCTCCACTCCACTGGTTGTCCAGGAACACCTGCCCACATTTTGCAGCCATTCAATTACCTGCCTTGGCCAAAGTAGGGTGAGAAACTCTGCCCCGCACCTAGTCCCAGCTGCCCCTCCTCTCCACCTCCAGCTCACCTCTGCCTTGGCCCATGGTTGCACTGAGTTCTGCAGCCCATACCCCTCTTCCTCATGCTTTTCTCTGGGGACAGCCCCTTTGGCTTTTCTGCTTTTATCCCTCAGAGCTCTGGACACAAAGTAGGTGCTTAAGCATTCCTTGTTGATTGATTAAGAGGAAGTGTCTGGAGACCAGGACAGAGACAGAGGCCCAAGAATGGGCTCCAGCCCCCACTTTGCCTCCAGCTAGTGAGAGATCCTGGGCGAGCCACACTCAAAACTAAGGGGTTGCAGTAGCTACGGGGCCAGGCAGGGTCCAGGCAGGTACCCTAAGTTAAAGAGGGCCAAGAGTGATGGTTGCCAGGTGGGCATGCAGGCCTGGTGTGGTCTTCCAGAATATTCTCAAGAAACCAGAAATCTGCCCCCCACCACCCCGCCCAAGCAAGGTCCAGTCTTTATTTCCAGTCTGTTGCAAACTCATGCATTTTTACTTTTACAGTAAAATGACTTATTAGATAAATGAAAAATTTTAAACCGAAGACTTGCAAAATACACGCCCCCCCATTTGCACTGTGAGATTTGACATGACATTCGAAGAAATCAGAAAGCTTGAGTTTTGTATGCCGCCCCCCTCAAATTGCAGATTTCAGGAACTAATAGTTTATAACACACAGCAAACCGAAGAACGCATCTGGGCTGCCAGAGGAGGTTTCCTGGGGACAGGGTCCTGCAGAAAGCTCCAGGGTCCGAGCACAGCAGAGGCAAAGTGGGGAGCAGCCGGGCAGGCGGCCATTGCTTGGAGCTGCTCCTCTCCCGTGGCACCTCTTGGTGCACCAGAGCCAGGCTGCCTGGGCTGTTAGTCCAGCTTCACAGGTGAGAGAACAGAGCTTAGCGAAGGCCCCAGACGGGAGGTGGCAGGTGGGGACTGAAAGCAGGTCAGACTGCATTCTGCTGCGGCACTTCCCAGAGGGGAAGTGAGGTCACTCCAAAGCGGTGGATTGGGTTTCCTCCCTGGAGGGAGGAGGAAGGAGGTGGAGGGTTTAAGAGTCAGTTCTGGGTGTGGGGACCGTGCTGTGGTGTGAAGACTTTTCTGGGTGAGGCACAGCCACAAGAAACACCCCTGCGCCCTGGCCAGGTGGCTCAGTTGGTTGGAGTGTCATCCATGTACCCAAAGGTTGTAGGTTCCATTCCCCATCAGGGCACATACCCAGGTTTCAGGTTTGATCTCCAGTTGGGGTGCATATGGGAGGTAGCCGAAGGATGTTTCACTCTCACATCGATGTTTCTCTCTCCCCCCCCCCTTTCCTCTCTCTCTAAAATCAATGAAAACATATCCTCGGTGAGGATTAAAAAAAGAGAGGGCGAGAGACACTCCTCCATGTTCTAGAAGAACAGAGACGAGAAGTTAAAGACTGACATTGTGAACTGCATAGAACCAAGGAATCAGAGGTCACCACAGGGTCATGGGGGAACCAAGTATTGCAGGGGACCGGCTCCAAATCCCACCTCCCAGCCTCAGGAGAGCCCTCCACCCCTGCGGACCCCACCCTGTTTCCCATCTGTAAAAGGAGGGGACCGGCCCAATCAACATTAGACATTTCTCTCCTCCAAAATGGTGCATGTACCACCGGTGATTTCATGTGGCTCCACGTGGGAAATTGTTGTCCCTTTTTCAATTTGAATAGTCATGTGTTCATTTTCATGTAAATGAGAAAAAATAATAGCTAAACCTCAGTGAGTGCTTACTGTGTGCCTGGTACAGTCTGAGGCAAAAGAAACTCATTAACATATTTGCATCTCACTGATACTGTCATTGTCCTCTAGTTACCGATGAGGAAAATGAGGTACAGAGAGGTAAAGTCACTTGCCCAAGGTCACCCTAGTAAGTGGCAGAGCTGGGCTCAAGCCCAGGCCACTGGCTCCGTAGCCTCACTTCTAGACTCCCCAATATTTTTGCTAATACAGAGGGGAGATCGAAGAGATTAGTGTCACAGGTGGTGTGACACAGGTCACTGGGAAGGGGTAAGCAGATGGTAGAATGGTTCTAGAGGGCTAGAGTTAGGTGGTCTCTGCCGGCCTGTTCAGCTAGAGCATTCTATAATTTCAGGAAAAATGCCTGATTGGAATTTTAGGTCAAGTAACCATATTTTTGTAATAGGTAGTATGTTTAAATGGTTCACAAGTCAAAACTATATTAAAAGGTCTACAAACCTTTTTTATTTTTTATTCTCACCTAAGAATGCATTTATTGATTTGAGAGACAGAGGAAGGGAGAGAAACATCGATCAGTTGCTTCCCCCAAGCGCCCCAACTGGGGATCGAACCCACAACTTAGGTATGTACCCTGACCAGTAATCGAACCCACAACTTTTTGGTGTATGGGACAACTGAGCCACCCGGCCAAGGCCACGGATCTTTTTGTATAGGTGCCACAGACATCTAGCAGTTCCGGTGTTCAAGAGCTGCTTTGAGCAAATACAAGCCAAGAGAACATAGTCTTCCTCCTGTTTCCTGTGTCCAAAAGGCAGCACACGGTCTATCTACCTTGATCTTGTTTCCTTATCAACATAGCCTTGAGACCTGTCCCTGTCAGCCAAGGAGCTCTCCTGCATTCCTCGGTCCTTTTACCGGGTGAGAGCCACCCCAAGACATTCCTTTTCTTAGCCTCTCCTTTGTGGATAGGCACTTGAGTCATTTCTTCTGTTTTGCTATTACAAGACCACAAGGAATAATGACCTCATACATGCATGATTTTGTCCAGGTCAGGTAACCATTGGGACAATCTCATGGTGAGAAATGGCACCTTGGAGTCATTGTTCATTGACATTTCCCATGATGAAGGAAGATGACAATCTTTTCATACGTTTAAGGCTTATTTATACTTTTTCTCTGAACCATTCATGTGCTTTGCCCACCTCTCTATTGGGTCTTTCTGTTCTTAATTTCTAAAAACTCTTTATGTATTAGAAAGATGAGCTCTTTTTCTGCAATTGACATTGCAAATATTTTCCCTCAGGTTGTCATCTGTATTTTAATCTTGCTGTTGGCATTTTTTGCCTTTTTCACAGAGAGTATTTTATTGTTGTTGTTGTTTTTAACCCTCACCTGAGGACATGTTTTTATTGATCTGAGGGAGAGAGAGAGAGAAACATCAATCAGTTGCCTCCTGTAAACACCCTGACTGGAGGTTGAACCGCAACCTAGGTATGTGCCCTGACTGAGAATCAAACCCGAAACATTTTGGTGCATAGGATGCCGCTCCAACCAACTGAGCCACCCAGCCAGGGCTTTTGTTGGTCTTTTGTTTTGATATTTATCCAGTTGAACATATCAAACTTTTCTCGGGTGTTCTTTGGCTTTACAATTCATGGTTAGAAAGTCTTTCCTACTGGAAGGTTAGTTATAAAGGAATTTGTTCATGTTTTCTGCTAATGAAAAGCCAACTTGTTCGTGAAGAAAGGAATAATAAGAGAAAACTCTGGGCCCCAAAGCCCAGACAGTGACCCTGACCTTGCTCACCTGGTATTTTTCTCTGCAGGCCCTGCTGCAGGCTGATCTGAGGAGGTGGCAGCCTCTGGCCCAGGGCAGGCATCGCCATGGCCCTCCTTACACACCTGCTGGTCTGCACCTTCGGGATTGGCTCCTGGGTGGCCATCAGCGGGCTCTGGGTAGAGCTGCCCCTACTGGTGACGGAGCTGCCTGAGGGCTGGTACCTGCCCTCCTACCTCACGGTGATCATACAGTTGGCCAACGTCGGCCCCCTCTTCTTCACCCTGCTCCACCACTTCCGGCCAGGCTCTGTTTCTGAGGTGCCCATCATCTTTGCTGTACTGGGTGTGGGCACTGTCACCTGCACCCTCTTTGGCTTCCTCTGGAATGTCACCTCCTGGGTGCAGGGCAGTCGCCACAGCATCTCGTTCATGGTCCTCACCTTCTTCCTGGCCCTGGTGGACTGCACCTCCTCCGTCACTTTCCTGCCCTTTATGAGCCAGCTGCCCACACACTACCTCACCACCTTCTTTGTGGGTGAAGGACTCAGCGGCCTCCTGCCTGCCCTGGTAGCTCTTACCCAGGGCTCAGGGCTCACCACCTGCGTCAACGTCACTGAGACACCTTCCACCACCTCAGGCCCTAACACCACCAGGAAGACCGACATTCCCCAGGTACTCCAGTGCTCTGCGCTCGGTCACAGCAAGACCGTGTGGAGACTCGTGTTTCCGAAACGTTGGGTGGACCCATGTCCTTGACTTGGCTGCACTTTAGAATACCTAGGAGAGCCACTGAAACACACCAGTGGGCTCCCCATGCAATGGACCCATTAAATAAGACTGAGCGTGGGGCTTTCCTGAAACCCTGGAGGTCAGATGTGTTTTGGAATCTGGAGTTTCAGCTTTTAGAACACACCTACCCCACCTGTGAGGCAGCAACCCAGCACAGTGACACCACTGTCCAGGCCTGGGGACGTCCCTGCCCACTGGCAGATGAGGGCTGTAAACGGCCTCATGTCAACAGCTTCTCATCCCTTCAAGTATTGCTGCCACCTGAGTCCTCAATTCTGGGCCTTTGGGATTTCAGAATTTCAAAACGTGGATTGTGAACTCGTATTTATTCAGAATCCCCAGGTGGTGCTAATGTGCAGCCAGGGCCGAGGACTGCAGACTTGAGACGATGCTTCAGCACCGCATAGCGTTGAAACATCTGTCGACATATGAAACCTCCAAACTGGTAGAGAAACTTTATAAGAGTTTATTTGGGCCAAAACTTATGATAACTGTCAGGAATCAAGATCTCAGATGCTTTGGAGAATACCAGTTTTTGCAATTTCTTCTCTGGTTTGAAATTAAGGAAGGAATTTAAGGAAGATGACATGAAGAAGGGAGAAAGCAGGATGGGTATTGGATTAGAGGATAGTTAAGATAGTAAATTAAGATTACTGCTCGCATTTCACAGGTGTGTTAACCTAGATGCACAGAAGCAAGGGGCAGGGCTTGCTTAAGACAAAGGTAAGCCTTTCACTAAAGAAGTTATATGCCTGGCCCTGGCCAGTTTGGCTCAGCGGTTAGAGCATCGGTCCATGGACCACAGTGACCTGGGTTCAGTTCCCATAAGGACACCTACCTCAGTTGCAATTTGTCCCCAGCCAGTCGATCTCACATCAATGTTTCTCTTTCTCTCTTCCTCCCTCTCTCCCTCCCACTCTATCTGAAGATAAATGTAAAAATATCCTCAGGTGAGGATTAAAAAAAAAAAGAAGAAGAAGAAGAAGTTATATGCCTGGAGCATGTCTGGGAATTTGTGATCAGATCAGCCTGTGTGAGGTTACTTTCTACAGAACCGCTTTTCTGACTTCAATTCCCTCTTTGTCATAAATCAATCCATAGGATGCACTAATGACCAACCTTTTGGTTGGACTGTAGTCTCACAGGGCTAGGAAGGCTCATGTCTATGAAGTCTCAGCATCGATGTGGTATTGAAATGGTGGGCCACTGGCGATGGGACAATATGTAAACATGGGATATGAGTTGAGGCCAGATTTTCCCCCAAAAGGAAGGACAGGTAAATGGAAGGCAGTTGGGTCTTACAGATTTCATTGCAAAAAACACTCTGGTCATTTCTATCCTGTGAACTATCAGGATCCAAGTTTTGCCTTCTGTCTCATTTTTCTTTTTTCTTTTAAAATATTTTTTCTTTACTGATTTTAGAGAGAGAGGAAGGGAGGAGAGAGATAGAAACATCAGTGAGAGAGAACATCGACTGGCCTCATGCACACCCCCAACAGGGGATCAGGCCCACAACCTGGGCATGTGCCCTGACCAGGAACCGAACCGGTGACCTCTTGGTGCATGGGTCGACGCTCAACCACTGAGCCACATCGGCCGGGCTGTCTCATTTTTCTATATTGCGCATCTAGTGTAATATTTACATAAGCCATAAAAAAGGGTGTCAAAAGTTATGTATTTTTAGTAATCATAAGAAGTTGGACTACATAGAAAAACCCAAAGAACAAGGATAGTTATTATTATGACTAATAGTACTGGCAGACAGGTAAGGACAATTAAACAATGGTTTCTGAGTTAGACATCAATTGGTAGGTATCCAGACCTTGTCAGTGTTTGGGGCAGCCGTCCTCCTCGGCCGGCAGTGGCTGCTCGTGCTAGAGTCTTTGATGTCCATAGACAGAGGTAGATACCCACTTGCAGTTAGGTGCCTCATAAGGTCCTTTCCAATAAGGCTAGAGAGTGTCTTTTAGTGGATGTCCTTTCCAAAAAAACATAATCTCCAGGTAGCAGTCAATGATCTTTAAAGTCTCTGTCTCCTGGGAGCTCACTACAAAAGGCCGCAGCTACCTATTTGGCATTTTCTTGAAGTGACTCCATCACACCTTGGCAATAGTGTAAGCTGTCTCCTTTCAATAATATCAGTTCATAAGTTTCTTATCTACTTTAGTCTAGCTTAAATGCACTGTGATGCATGAGGAATGCAAAAACTTAAAAAATGGGGTTTGCCAAAGAGCCCTAAATACCAAGTGGCTGCCTTGGGTTTTTCATGGTCCCGACTGTTTGCTTAATTTACAAGTATTGTTTAACCACACAATACCTTAGAAGTTTTCTCATCATTTATTTTACAATACTTCCCATGCAGTTTAACATAAAAACAAAAGCTTTGAGGTATTCCAGTGACCCTCTGGAACACCGCAAAGTTATTCCTACTTATATTTTTAATCCTTAAAACCTCAGTTTCTACTGAAAACTAAGAAGTAAGCAATTCGCATTCTTTAGCTTAAATTTATATAGACATTTTATTACATCTGGAAACACGTTTCATAGACATCAAAGTCAATTATTCACATAAACTTATATTGTAAACCCAGGTAAAATATGAATTTTATATTTAAAATCAATAACTCAAAAAATATGTTATACTCAAACCAACAAACTTAAAATAACTTTTGCTAACTAAAAATTAATCTTAGCTCATGTGAACTTGAAAAGCATTTGAACTCATTTCCATTTTCTGAGAATTTTAGAATACCCAACCCTTACAAGCACTTGCATTTAAATTAATTTTAACAATACCATCCATAGGTAGAAAAGTATCTCACATTGACAACACACCTATAGAGACACACTGGTTTACAAAAGAACAGTTGGATCCAAATTTTGTTTTGGACAGAGTTACAATTTATATCTGTCCTTCACAAGTCAAGTTTTAAATGACATTCCCCGTTTAACATAAGGACAGCCATTTTTAATGCCTCAAAGAACTGGGTTGACACCTAACTGACACCATAGGTGGATCCATGTATTTAAATGCTCTGTTTGAAGCTTCAAGAGACCAATTAAATACGTTTTGCCATTCATTCTGCCTAGTTTTATAGCCGGCTATTTCTAACTGTGTGTACAAAGTCTCATTTAGAAGTTCTGAAGGGTCTTCATCTCAGCCCTCCTAGCGCTAGTGGGAGGCTGGCTGTCACGGGCCTTGCTGCCCTTGCAGGCATGATTTCCCTGGTTAATTTTAGTTTTTTCTTTGAGATCTGTAGAGTCGGAACGAACTTTTAGGGACCAACATTCATGACCACATCTCTAGACAAGCCAAATATCCCTGTAGGAAAGTTTTTCTTCAGACAACCCCGCAAAGATCCTTAGTCCCCTAATAATACCTGAGCGAGAGCTCCCAGATGCCACCAGAACTGTGACACGTTCCAAGGCTCAGGCCCCTCTCTCCGTGTGTGAACCCGTCCCAAGGCCCTGCCCTCCTCCCTGGGCTCCTGCAGCCTCTCCGGTATCGGCTGCACTGCCGCACTGGAGCGCCCCTGGTGCTCATCCCCAGCACTCCGGATTTGGGGGTCTGCACCAACTATTGTTACCCCATTGTCTATTCGGGTTGGAGAAGCAGGTATCCTTTCTCTTTTGAAGCCAAAGGAAGTTCAGTATCTCATTTAACCAGCAAAGATTTTGTTCAGACTCTCACTAAGCAATCAGTTAAAAAAGCCAAAATTAAAAGCAGCAAACCTCCCTCCCCCCACCACCCCTTTATTTTTCTTTCCCTGGGCTATCTCAACCCTCATCCACCTGATTTTCTAAGAACAGCTCAGATAAAGCCATGGCCAGCCTCTTAAAGCCGGAGGCCCAGGATTCCAAGAGAAAAGTCACCGAAGTTCACCCAGGGAAAAGGGGAGCCAGGAGCGCAATGGGCTCTGGCTGGTACCAGCACTGCGTCCAGGCCACAGCACAGTCCTGGGTGGCCTTCTGCAGAATCCTGCCGACGACACCAAGTAAATGTCAACATAAGAAACATCCAGACCTGTAGAAAATTTGTAGCAGAGTTTATTTGAGCCAAAACTGTTGACGATTGCCAGGAACCCAGATCTCCAATGTCTTGGAGAATAATGGTTTTGCAGTTTCTTTTACGCATTTGAAATTAAGGTGGGAATGTAAGGAAGATTACGTGAAGGTGGGAAAAAGCAAGGTGGGTACTGGATTACAAAATAGTTAAGATTATGTGCTCTCTCCAGGGCTCTGAAAGGGGACATTTCACAGGGGTGCTAACCTAGGTGTACAGAAACAATGGATAGGGCTTACTTAAGGCGAAATTAAGCCTTTTACTAAAGAAGTTATAGGCCTAGGGCATGACTACCCACCATGACGTGCCCAGTTAAGAATTTATGATCAGATCACCATGGGAGGTAACTTTTCCCAGAATCCTTTTTATCGACGTGTCCAAATTCCTTGCACTGCATGGTAGACAATTTGCATGTCTGGTGTTATCCAAACCACAGCAGTGCAGCGACTGCAGACCAGTGGAACATGCCGCCGTAGCGTGCAGGCAAATTTTATAAGTGTTTGAATTAGTTGATGACATTTAAATTATTTTGAATTTCACATATATAAATCTAGACGTATGATATCTCTTGAAAAGAAATTTGACCACACAGGGCTACGTCACAACAGGGTGAGTTGAGGGGGCTGCTCTCCCGCTGGTGGTCCTCAGCCAGCCCCTCCTCTGAACATATATTTGGTTGCCAGCCCTGGAAGCAGGCAAGTAGGAAGGCAGAGCTGAGTCAGAAGAACCAAGTGGACTGATTTCACCACATACTCCCCGTGACCCTCAGATAAGATGAACTGTTCTGATACCTCTGTTCCCTCTGAAACAGGATAATGGTCCCCACTGCACAGGGCTGTTAGGAGGTGCCCGTGAGCCAATGCTTGCAAGGTGCTGGGGCCCAGTGAGCAGTTGGTCAGTATGAGCATTTAATATCGTGACCTCCGAAGTTATGTGTATGTTATTCATCACGTACTTATTAATAATAATGTATCTTATATATTGTATGTTATCATTATTAATGTTACCTGTGTCCCAACGTCACCCAGAGATCCGATGACCCTTGTTTTGTCTTTCCCCAGGGAAATAACAGCACTCCTGTGCCTGGCTTCGCTGGGGTGGCGTCCTCCGTGGTCCATCTGGAAAGCCGCTACCTCCCTGCCAACTTCTCGCCCTTGGTCTTCTTCCTGCTGCTCTCCTTCATGATGGCCTGCTGCCTGCTTGCCTTCTTTTTCCTCCAGCGTCACCCCAGGCGCTGGAAAACCTCCACCGAAGACCTCCTCACCTCCCAGGTCACCCTCCACTCCATCCGGCCACTAAAAGAGGACCTGGGCCCCCCAGGCCCAGTGGACAGCAGTATGAGCCAGGAGCATCTGGAGGAGAAAACGGGCCCCTACTTCCCGGCCCACCTGCTCTTCACCTACGTCCTCGTGGCCTTTGTGAACGCACTCACCAATGGCGTGCTGCCTTCTGTGCAGACTTACTCTTGCCTGTCCTATGGGCCAGTTGCCTACCACCTGTCCGCCACCCTCAGCTCCATGGCCAACCCTCTGGCCTGCTTCATCTCCATGTTCCTGCCTAACAGGTCCATCTCTGACTGGTCTTGGCATCTCTGGTTGGGGATTACTCCATTTCAAAAGGCAGAGTTCCAAACCCCACTGTCAGGCTATATGTGTGGTGGTTAATAATATGGTTTCTGGAGCTGGACTGCCTGGGTTCAAATCCTGGCTCTGCCACTTACTGGCTGTGAGATACTGGATAAGTCACTCTACCTCTCTGTGCCTCAGGGATACCTAGCTGAAAAATGGGGATGATAATTGTTCTCCTAGGGTAGCTGGGAGCATGAGATGAGCTACTTTGGTAAAGCTTTCAGAGTGGTTCCGAGGCATGACAGGTCCAATATGTTGACCATCACGGCCATTGGCCCATGAGAAGCAGCAACTCCGCAGGAACTGAAGTTCCCAGTTACAAATTGAAACCCTCAGGCTCAGAGAAAGGGCTGGCCTCATTCCAGTTTCCCGGATGTCAGCCCTGCCCTCCTGCCTCCAGCCCAGGCTGGTTCCCTTACAGCTGCAGTTTTAAAGAATGGCTGAGCAAATTGATAGAATGCAGACTGAGCCAGACTAGACTGGACCTGGGATTTCAAATTTTAATAAGCAACTTAAGTGGTTCTAATGCAAGGGCTTCAGACCCCCAAGGGAGAAAAGCTCAACTTGGGGTCTGGAAACTTTAGGTCCCACAACTTCCCTTCTACCTCCCTGCCTTGCTTACCCTCGCTGGCCTCTCAGACCTGCACACACCCACCCCTCCAAGCCCTGCCCACCCCCAACTGGCCACACTCTCCTCATCCAGCCCTGCCCACCCCCACTCACTGGCCGCACTCACCTCCCCAACACTGCCCACCCCCATCAGCTGCATCCACATCACCTATCCCTGGAAGGAGAGAAAATGAGTACAGGAGAGTTAGACAGAAAATGTCAATTTACCAGAAGGCTGAATTGTCTCCCTTGGGGCTTTAAAAACTGGTTGGAGACTAGAGATTTCTGGGGAAGCAAGACAAGAGACCACAGACCTGTGGAATCTGAGATGCCCAGAATGTTAGAAATTCAGAATCTGAGAGTCAAGGAGCCCAAGAATCTTGAAGCAGAAAGAGTCTTTAGAGGTGGGCAGACCCTCTGCTTGCACCCAGCACACAGACCAGCCTTGGTGCCTGAAGACTGGATAGGAGGACCCAGGGACAAAGACTTCAAATGAAAAACAGTGTCCTCAATTGTCAGACCTGAATTCTGAATGGAAGGCCACCAATAGAGTGCATCCAAGCTGGCCACCAGGGCCCCTGGACCATGCAAACCAGTTATAGACAGGGGTAGCTGAGGCCAGAGGAGGGGTCACCTGGGGTCACACACACCCCCTGCAGTGCCAGTGCCATGATCAAAGCCACCTTTTCTTCAGCCCAGCTTCCTGTCTGAGGCTGAGCGTGTTACAAGACGAAAGGGCAGCTGGGGAAACACCAGTAGGGCGCATGGCCAAGGTCAGAACCTGCACGTCCTGCTCCCACAGTCCCCTCAAGACTCATCTTGTGGGTGAGGAAACTGAGGCTCAGGAACCAGTCTCACAGCTTAAATGGTGGAACTGGGATTAAAACCAGGTCTGTGTAGCACCAGAGTCATTGTTTCTCCAGGGTGACTTAGGCCAGCCTTGTCCCTCGGGAGCCTCACTGACCCGCTTGAGCCTGGTGGCCTGGAAGTTTCCACATGGGTCTAACCTCTGACCCTGGAGATGCTGACCATTCCATGTGGCTCTCGGGATGGGGGCGGCAGAGGTTAGGCTTCTCACTGACTCCATTCACCTTCCCCACTCTGCCCTAGGTCTCTGGTATTCCTGGGGGTCCTCACAGTACTTGGCACAGGCTTTGGGGCCTACAACATGGCCATGGCGGTGATGAGCCCCTGCCCCCTCATGCAGGGCCACTGGAGTGGAGAAGTCTTCATTGTAAGTATCTGCTCCCACAGGTGCCTCCTCACCTAGCGGCCTGGGGAGGCGGGGGGTCCAGTCCTTTCTATGGACCAAAGTCTCTGTGGTTGCTCCCTTAGGAATCCCCATGTTGCTGGGGGGACCGGGGTTGGGGGGCGAGGTGCAGGCTTAGGAAGCTGAGGTTGCTGGCCCGAGGTGATGATCCAGCCTCTCCTCGGAAAGCCACACTCTTCACATGTCTGTGTCAGCAGTGGCCTTCTCCCAGAGGCGCTTGACTTGATCCTGAGGGACAGAAAAGCCACTGGGCTCTTTTTTGCCCTTGGGGAGGGGTCAAGTCCTGTTAGGTCATCCTACACCCTTCACCCCTAGGATCTGCCCCCAAAACCCCTGCACTCTGCATCTCTCCCTCCCTATGTCCGCAGGTGGCCTCGTGGGTGCTTTTCACCGGCTGTCTGAGCTATGTCAAGGTGATGCTGGGCGTGATCCTGCGCGACCGCAGCCGCAGCGCCCTCTTGTGGTGCGGGGCGACGGTGCAGCTGGGCTCACTGCTTGGAGCTCTGCTCATGTTCCCGCTGGTCAACGTGTGGCGGATCTTCTCATCCGCGGACTTCTGCAGGCTGCAGTGCGCCGTCTAGGTCAGTGGAAAACTGGGGCCCGGAGAGACGAGGCAAGGGCCCAAGGTCACTGGGCAAGTGCTGGGGGTCTCGGAGGCAGAGACTGAGGACTTGAACCATCAACACAAACTCCCCTCCTTAAGGTGGGTAATTCCACAGGCCTCACAGGGGACCTGGGAATGCAAAGCACAGCCCTCCCCCAACTCTGAGTCTCGAGGTTTGCAGTTCCACTCTTTCAGAACTTCCTTCCCACAGCTTGAGAGAACTAACTGGGAGCGCCCAGCTGGAGGCAGGCTCGGGGCTGTTAGAAGGGAAACAGCTGAGAGGGTGAGCACACTCTTACAAGCTGTGTGACCTGGAGGAAGTCACTTGATTTTTGTGTGTGTGCCTATGTTTCCGTATCCATAAAAAGGGGGTTGTAATAAATAGCACCTACCTCATAGATTTGACACAGGGACAGGAGGGAAACACACCCAGTGTGTAGCAAAACCGCCTGGGCCACTTCCTGATCTGATGACTAACAATAGTAACAAGAGTGAAATCAGCACAGCCTGAAGTGGCCAGAGGGCTTGAGAGAGGATCCCTGTCCCATTTCCTTTTTCCCACTATCCTCACAGAGAAGCTTCTAGAAGAGAGATGGCTAATGGTGGAATCTCGGGCAGGTTGGCTTCCTGATTCCCAGTATGGAGGGACACTGTGCCCCACACACCCCTCCCTATCACCCCTCCTGAGCCATGAAGGCTTGCTCTTTGTAGAGTAGGTAACCTCCTGGGAGGCAGAGAGAGACGATGGGGGAGGGGCTATACCAAGCCTCTGAAAGTGAGTGTCCCCACCCCGACACACCAAGGCTGAAAACTGGACACGGAGGACCCTGGGAAGCAGCTCTCCCAGCTGGAGAAGGAAGAGTATGAGGAGGAGTGTATTAGTTACCTGACTGGTTTTTGGTGTTTGTTTGCTTTTTACCTGGTTGTTTTTTTATTTTACTTTTAGTTGCTGCTGTTGTTTTTTAAATAAAGACACTCCTGCTTTTACACTAAGATGTTGTTTTTTAAATAAAGACACTCCTGCTTTTACACTAAGATGTTGTTTTTTAAATAAAGACACTCCTGCTTTTACACTAAGATCAACGTTCCAAAAAGAAGTCCACCAGGAACCCACAAAATGTATCACTATAATTAGTTTTCAGTTGGCTCCAAGGTCAAGACTGAGCTCAGAAATGAACAGAATCAAATGCTTAGAGGAGATCTGGACATGGAGTTTCTTTTCTGTAGTGGTTTGTTGTTTTGTCTTGCTACCACCCTTCTTTTTAGTTTATTTTTAATAGATAATATAGTCACATGTTTTAAAAATCAGAAAATATAAAACAGTGTTCAGCAAAAAAAAAAAAAATCCATCCCACTTTTCTCCCCCATCTAGCCAGTTCTTCTCAACACACATGAGCACTTTTATTAGTCCCTTATTTACTCTTCCAGAGATTATGCCAATATAAGAACATACAAGTATAGTCTTTTTACAGAAGAAAAATATGAACTACTGTGGACCTTGCCCTTTGACTCAACAATGAAAATGAAGAGAGCATTCTGGTCCTTTTTCATGACTGCATAGTATTCCACTGTATGGGATTGCCAAATTCATTTAACCAGTCCTCTGCAGAAAGACATTTGAAGGTGTTGAAAACAGAAGTAAAAACAAAATCTCCCACTAATCCAGAAAGCCTCTCCACCAAAGTAGAAGAGAAAGAAAACAGTTTTATTACTGAATAAGCATTAAACCAGGCTGTGGTACACATCACAGGCAATCCACCAATGAGATGCAAAGGCAGAGAGAAATCCCACCCCTTTATATACAAGCAGATACAACCAAAAACATTTGTGTTCTCAAAGGTTAGCTAGTCCTTATGTAGGAGGGCTGGCATTCACCTGGTCATTGGGGTGGCTATTAGCTAATTAGTAGTTAATTGTATTTATCCACAGGGATAAGAGAAGAGGTTGTTTTACAACTTGAAGACTAGCACTGAAGTTAGGTGCCTACACTCCCACCGAGACTGGGTGATAAGCCTGCTGGTTTTCCTGATATTTACATGACAAAGAGGTGGCTCCCAGGTCCTTGAGAAAAGCACTCAGGGGTGGTAAAACTGGCAAGAGGCTTATTCAACTTTTTTTTTTCTTTTTTTTATCCTCACCCGAGGACATTTTTCCATTTTTTGTACAGATAGAGTGGGAGGGAGAGAGAGGAAGAGAGAGAGAGGGAAACATCGATGTGAAAGGGACACATCGAGGGGCTGCCACCCGCATGACCAACCGGGGCCGGGGACAAACTGCAACCGAGGTACGTGCCCTTAGCGGGAACCGAACCCGGGTCTCTCCGGACCGCAGGCCAATGCTCTAACTGCTGAGCCAAACCGGCCAGGGCTTATACAACTTTTTATTTTTTATTTATTTATTTTTTTTAATCCTCACCCGAGGATACCTTTACATTTTTTGTACAGATAGAGTGGGAGGGAGAGAGAGGAAGGGAGAGAGAGAGAGAGAAACATCGACGTGAAAGGGACACATCGAGTGGCTGCCACCCGCACGACCAACCAGGGCCGGGGACAAACCGCAACCGAAGTACGTGCCCTTAGCGGGAACCGAACCCGGGTCTCTCCGGACCGCAGGCCGACGCTCTAACCGCTGAGCCAAACCGGCCAGGGCTTATTCAACTTTTTAAAAGAAGCATTAATCTGGAAGGAGCAGAGAAGAAGTCTACAAGTTTTCTACAGTCAGCGCTCTAAGAAAAGGGAGAAGGGACATCTCCTATCTTGACACAAAGAGAGATTCTTTTCATTTGCATCAGCCTTTACAGGGGCAAGTGGGTGGTTTGCCGGCATTCCCTCTCAGAAAGAATGCTGCAATCAATAATGAGCAAGAAGATCTCTGCTGATGCAGGAAGATGCTCCAAGATTAATGACACTCGTGGAGAGTACACGCAGAAGAACAGGTGCAGTCGGAGCTGGCCACGCTAATATCTTCTGCCAAGGACAAGGTGAGAGGGCAAGTGACTTGGTATTTGGAAAAGGCACCTTCATTTGATGCCTTCTCTGTGATGTTGCTTTCACTCACCAATCTTGGAAGTCTTGATGACACTGACAACCTTTTAGTTAGCATGCATGAGTCAGTGCCCTCCTTCTCTTCCTCTGTACAATGGGGATGATAAAAGCACCCCCCCACACACACACACACTTTGTAAGGCCTTTTTATTTTAAAGTTTGTACTTTCTAATGCGTCAGACACACGATATGAGCCTCTGTGTCCCAGGCCCTGAGGTAGTGTGCTAGCAGTGGTCCAGATGGGAAATGGTCCAGCCAGAGTCCCCCAGAAAATGGACCACAAAGTCAGGGCACAGACCCCAGCTCTGAATCCAGGGTTCTCTCCAATGAATTGTTGCATATACACTGAGGTACCACACTCCACCTTTATCTTGGAGGGTGGTAGCCCCAGGAACTGTAAAATCAGGCCAGGACTTTTAGGAGAGACCCACCAAGTAATCTGAAGGAGAACGGGGGTTATACCGACATGCTTCCTTGGGACTGGTCAGCACTGGAATGCCCAAAAAGGAAGCATCTACCCTGTCCATGGTGATGATGTCCACCACGCTGACCAGCAACTTTATAGCTCTAAAGAGCCTTCCTACTGCCCCCCTTCCTGGAAGGAAGGAAAGAAACTAGGAAACTTCAATCCAGTCTCATGGTCTCTACTCCATAACACACATATTATCCCCCCCCCCACACACACACACACAAACACACATCGTCTGGAAGTGAAAAAAAGGAACAAGCAATTAGTGCTTCTGTAGTAGGCAGGATGAGTTACACACACAGAGTCTAATGATATCACTTTAAGAATGACTAGTAGAGGGACTGAAGCTTGCCAGAGGTTTGCCACACACCTTGTCTTGCAGTTCTGGTTTTGCAACAGGATGGCCTTTTTTGAGTCTTGCAATGGCATTTATAAAAGTCCAATCTGGGAGACGTGCCATGGCAAATACGGTGTTGCTGGGTCTCTGCCTCTCCTTTGGAAATTACCGGCTGTGCCTTAAAAAAGTTGCTCTGCTACAACTTGTAGTTTGGCCCAGATGGCTGTCTTCTCACAGGGTCAATGGTTAGAATATAAGATAAGATACAGAACTTTCTCTCTTGGTGAGAAAAGATATTATTGGGAGAATGAAGATAAGCAACAAACAGCACTGCTAGCTTGCTATAATGTCCATTCTCCTGTTGTTTTTCTTTTCTTTATTGATTTTAAAGAGAGAGGGAGGGAGAGGGAGAGAGAGATAGAAACATCTCGATGAGAGAGAACATCGATTGGCCGCCTCCTGCACGCCCCCCACTGGGGGTTTGGCCCACAACCTGGGCATGTGCCCTGACTGGGAATCGAACCGGTGACCTCTTAGTGCATGGGTCGATGCTCAACCACTGAGCCACACCGGCCAGGCCATTCTCCTGTTTCTTTCATAGTCATAGAACTCCTGATTTTTAGCTGGGTACATGGTAGCCCAGAGTAAAGAACACATTTCCCAGGCTTCCTTATGGCTAAGAATGGCCGTGTGTTTACATTCAGACAAACATTGCCAAGAATAATGTGTATGACTTCTAAGTTGTATGCTTAAAAGGTAGAAGCAGGACCTCTACTTCCCATTAACCCCTTCGTGCTGGGGGAAATGCAGATGTGACAGCTGGGTCTGGAGCAACTGTCTTAGACCATGAGGAGAAAGCCAGAGGTTGAGAATAATACAGGAAAAATATGGAAGGAGCCTGAAATCGTAATGATTGTGGGGCCACCATTCTTACTGGGGCCCAGATTTAATGTGACAGAGAAATAAGCTTCTATGTTGTTTAGGTTTTTATAATGTGGGTACATTTTGTTATAATAGCAGAATTCTCATATTCATGAATATGTTTCTTTATATGTATATATAGATGCACACTCACACACATACTCACAATCACACAGAAAGAGGACTGGAAAGAGATGTATCAAAATGTTAGCCCAGTTAATCTGGGGTGGGGATTTCT